GGTCATGCTCTGGTTTTCTGTTTCTTCCTGGTTCAATCTTGGTAAGCTGTATGTTTCCATATCCATTTCCTCTAGTTTACCCAATTTGTTACCATACAGTTTTTTCATAATAGTCTTTGCTGATCCTTTGTATTTCTGTGATATAAATTGTAATGTCTCCTTTTTATTTTTAGGTTTTATTTTGGGGGCTCTTTTCTCTTTTTTTTTCTGGTTAGTCCAACTAGTAGTTTTAAAATTTTGTTTATTGGGGCCTGGTGCAGTGGCTTATGCCTGTAATCCCAGCACTTTGGAAGGCTGAGGCAGGAGGATTGGTTGTGCCCAGGAGTTCAAGACAGTCTAGGCAACATAGCAAGACCTCATCTCTACAAAATTTTGTTTTAATTTTTTTAACAAACCGGTTTCTTATCTCACTGATTTTATATCTATCTATCTATCTATCTATCTATCTATCTATCTATATATATATTTTGCTTTTGGTTTCTGTTTGTGTGGAGTATCTTTTTCCATCCATTCACTTTCAGTCTTATGTGTCTTTACAAGTGAATTGAGTTTCTTATAGGCAGCATGTAGGTGAGCCATGCTTTTTTATCCATTCAGTGAGTCTGTATCTTTTTTTTTTTTGAGTCGGAGTCTCACTCTGTCACCCAGACTGGAGTGCAGTGGCCGCTCCTGGCCACCGCAGCCTCGACCTGCTGGGCTCCGGCGATCCTTCCGCCTCAGCCTTCCGAGTAGCTGGAATTACAGGCGCGCGCTACCACGCCCGGCTAATTTTTTGATTTATTGTAGAGATGAGGTCTCGCTGCCCAGGCGGGTCTTGAACCCGCGGGCTCAGGCAATCCACTCACCTCAGCCTCCCAAGGCGCGGGATTACAGGCTGAGCCACCGAGTCCGGCTCGAGTCTGTATCTTTTAAATGGAGAATTTAATCATCTACGTTCAAAGGTCTTAGTGATAGGTGACTTATTCCTATCATTTTGTTGTTTTCTGGTTGTTTTGTGTATCTTTGTTACTTTTTTTCTTATTGTTTATCATTGTAGTGATGGTTTTATGTAGTTGGTAACATTTGAGTTCCCTCTTTCATATGTATGTCTGCTCTACTTGTGAGTTTTGTACAACTGTTTTTCTGATGGTAGATATTATTCTTTTGCTTCCAGATTTCACTTACCATTTTTAATTGGGCCAGTCTAGTGGTGATGAGTTTTCTCAGTTTTTAGTTGTTTGGGAAAGACTATTTCACCTTCATTTTTGAATGACAGCTTTGCTGGTATAATATTCTTTGCCAGCAGTGTTTTATTTTTCAGCAATTTGAATATATCATTCCATTCTCTCCTGGCCTGTAAGGTTTCTGCTGAGAAATTCACTGTTAGTCTTATGGAGGTCGTCTCATATGTAACTTGATGCTTTTCTCTTGCTTTCTTCTTCTTCTTCTTTTTTTTTTTTTAAACTTTTGATAGTTTGACTGTAATGTGCCTTGGAGAAGACCTTTTTGAGTTCTATCTATTTGGAAATCTTTGAATTTTCTGTATCTGGATGGCTAAATATCTTGCAAGACTTGGAAAATTTCTAGTTATTATTTTTGCTAGATAGGTTTTCTATGCTTTTGCCCATCTCTTCTTCTGGAACATGCAAAAATTAAATATTTGGTTGCTTTATGATGTGTCATATTTCACCTAGACTTCTTCATTTTATTATTTTTGTTTTGCTGAGTTATTTCCAAAAATCTTCTAGTTTAGAAATTTATTATTCTGCTTGATCTAGTCAGTTGTTAGTCTTGGTTGTCTTTATTTTATCCATTGGATTCTTCAGTTTCAGGATTTCTGTTTGTCTCTTTTTTGATATCTATCTCTTTGCTGAATTTTTCATTCAGATCATAAATTGTTTTTTCTGATTTTTTTTTCCATTGCTTATCTGTATTCTCTTGTATCCATTGCTTTTCCATTTTTCCATTGCTTATCTGTATTCTCTTGTAGCTTTAATATCATTATTTTGAATTCTTTTTCAGGCATCAAATAGTTATTTTTTGTGGGATTTGTTCCTGGCGAATGACTGTGTTCCTTTGGAGGTGTCATGTTTTCTTGCTTTTTATGTTTCTTATATCCTCATGTTGATAACTGCACATTTGGTGTAACAGTCACTTCTTCTGGTTTTATGGATTAGTTTTTGTAGAGAGAGACTTTCTTTCCTATAGATGTATTTGTAGTGTTGTTTGTGTAGGTTGCTTTAGCTTTGATTCCAGTGTACAGTAATGATTTCTTTGGCCGTATTTGTTGGCAGTGGTGTCTGTTAGTTCCTCAGTGGCTTAAGGTGTGTTTGTTAGTAGAGGCTGTGGTGTGCCAAGTGTGCTGGACCTGGGCCCCTGGGCAGTTTACAAAGGCACTAGTAGTAGCTGGTTCATGTGGGTTGATCCTTGGGCCTTTAGGTGGCTCTCTCAGGTACCAATAGTAGCAGTGGTGGGCCAGGTGGGTTGGCAGGTTCTCAGGCCACTTGTTGGCATGGGTGATGTCAGCAGTGGCAATAGCAGCAGCAGTGCAACCTTTAAGCCCAATCAGTATATCCAGATGCCAGCAGTAGTATGGCAGACCGGGCGGGTCAATCTCCATTCCCCATGTGGCATGTGTGATTTGGTGCCTGTAGCAGTGGTCATATCAGGCTGTTGGGTGGGCTTGTCCTTAGGTTTCTGGGAGGTGTGCAGAAATGATGTGGATGGCAGGTAGAACAAGTCAATCCCCAGGCCCTGGAACAACAGTTGCAGCAGGCTGAGTGAACCCATTCTCAGACCCATGGAAGATGTGGAGGTGCCAGTAGCAGTATGCATGGTAGGTCAGTCCCCGGGCCTCTGGAGTAGGTGACACCAGGTATGGTGGGCCTATCTTCACAGCCCCCAGTTGTACGTGCAGATACAGGCTGTGGTGGTTGGGACAGGTCAGTCTTCAGGTCCCCGGATGACATGCTCACACCCTATGGTGGGTGTGCTGGGCCTTTCCTCAAGCCCTCCAGTAGTTCACTCATGTGCCAGTGGTGCCAGGTAGGGTGGGTTGATCACAAGGCCTACAGATGGTGGGCTTGTGCAGTAGTTTTCATGAGCCAGGCAAGCCTGATCTCAGGCCTCAGCAGTACAAGCAAGTACACAGGAGTCCAGCAGCTAGTGAACAGTAGTGTTCCTTACAGTGGCAGTGGCCACAGGCAGGAGGTTCTTAGGCTTTAGGGAGCATGCACTTTGGCTACCTTTGTCCTGGGGCAGCCTCCCTGAAACCCATTCCCTGGGGTGGAGGATACTGAGTAGGCTGGAATGCTGGGGACCTAGCCACCTCTCTGGGTCCAGCTGTCATCTCAATGCTGCAGCCCTCTAGGTAGATATAAGGGGAAATTAGTGGAGCTCCATAGATAAGGAGATGCAGGAACTGCTGACCCCAGAGCAGGATGTAGTCTGACGGGGCTGGGCTCTCAAAATGGCATTGTGCTGCAGCTGGTTGGCTCATGGGGGTGGAGAGGTTGTAGGACCCAGTGTGAATTCCCTCTCTGGAACAGTGTCATTGAGTGCACTGCTGGCAGCTTCCTTTCTAGCCTTAGGGCCTGCAAGGGCTCAGGGCCTCTCCGGCGGCTGGGATTGCAGAAGTCCATGGTGAGAATGTAGTCTCTCTTACGTTTCCACTCACTGGGGAACCTCTCTTGTCTCCAAGCCAGTCCTGGCCAGGCCAGCTGCCTTACTTCTCTCTTCTTGTCACTTCCCTGATGAATTCCAGTGCTCTCTGATACTCTATTTGACATGTGATTATCTAGCTGCTATTTTAGTCCTTTGTAGAAGAGGCAAGTGCCAAGTCCCTCGAGTCAACCATCTTGAATCCTCCTCTTTAAAAATTGATTTTAAAACAATAATTCTAAAAATTCATTCATTGCTTCAGCAATTCAACAAATTATGAATTGGTCTTTTGGGACATTTTAGGCATTTTGTAAGAGCTACGTATGCATTCATGATAACATCAAACATTCTTGATCTCACTGAATCTGTGCATTCATATATAACATTACAGCTAATAAGTGCTGTTCATAAGAAAAACCTGAGTGACCTGAGGTAATAACAGAAAGATCATAGTTTAGACTAAAGATCATTTATGGCGTCCCTGGAGATCACGGGACTTTCTAGCAGTCATGAGTTAATTATCATCCTCATTTTAGCACACAAGGAAAGGGGGGCTCAGTGGCTAAGTAATTGCCTTCCAACATCAAACTGAGGCTCACTGCTCATATGTTGACTTGGAGTTCTTCTCACAGAGTACATTTCATCTTGTCTTACTCTCTTCTGTCTCAAACTTGAGCTGCCTCTATTCTTAGTCACTGCCATGACTTATCTTTCTACCAAGGTCAGCATCACAGAATTCTAAGGCAAACTATTTTCTGTGAATCCTCAACTTATATCATGCTGTATACACAGAAGAGATTTACCTGTGTACCATTCCTGTCAATTTTGTTCAGCACATTAAAGTTTTTGTAGGTTATCCCTCTATGTCAATTTGCCAAAATTACACCATTGCAGAGTTACTAACCACCCTCCCACCATTTACACCTTTCACTTATTCATCTCAGTAGTTCTTGATGTAGGTCTGACAGTTATCTACAAATTTCAAAACATACAGTATGATGCTCTGTATATGTGAGTATGTGTTTATATATATGTATATCTGATTAGAATCACTGTATAATATGGAGGATGGTGCTGAGCACTCTGTATTCACCAGTGTTTAAGGTGACTCTGATTCACACCAAAATTTGAGGATCATAAAAGTCATCTACTTTCTTATCATCAACCTCAGCTTCTTTTGTTACATCTCCAAATGTCTGTACTTTTCTTGTCAGTGTTACAAATGTTAGCCACATTTGAGAACTGTCTAAGCATTTAATTTCCCAGATGTTATTTTCAGCTTAATCCTCCCATTTCTTTTTTAGAAATTTAACTTCCCCAGAATAAGAAAAATGAATATTTTGCTTTTTATTTTCTTTCAGATCTGGAATCAATGTGTGATACCAAGATATTATCTCTAAAGAAGAGACATTTCAGTCAAGTAATACTTACCCATGAAGACATGCCTACTTTTAGTCAGCCCACATTTCTTACTCTACATCAAAAAACTATTAATGAAGAGAAACCCTGTGAATGTAAGATATGTGGAAAGACCTTTAATCAGAACTCACAATTTATTCAACATCAGAAAATTCATTCCGGTGAAAAGCCCTATGAATGTAAGGAGTGTGGGAAATCCTTTAGTCGTGGCTCACTTGTTACTCGACATCGAAGGATTCACACTGGTGAAAAACCCTATGAATGCAAGGAATGTGGTAAGGCTTTTAGTTGTAGTTCATATTTTTCTCAACATCAGAGGATTCACACTGGTGAGAAACCCTATGAATGTAAGGAATGCGGAAAAGCCTTTAATTATTGCTCAAACCTTAATGATCATCAGCGAATTCACACTGGTGAAAAACCCTATGAATGTAAAGTATGTGGAAAAGCCTTTACTAAAAGCTCACAACTTTTTCCACATTTGAGAATTCATACTGGTGAAAAACCTTATGAATGTAAAGAATGTGGAAAAGCCTTTACTCAACATTCAAGGCTTATTCAGCATCAGAGAATGCATACTGGTGAGAAACCTTATGCATGTAAGGAATGTGGGAAGGCCTTTAGTAGTGCCTCAACACTTACTAACCATCACAGAATTCATGCTGGTGAGAAGCTCTATGAATGTAAAGAATGTCAAAAGGCCTTTATTCAGAGCTCAGAACTTATTCAACATCAGAGAATCCATACAGATGAAAAACCGTATGAATGTAATGAATGTGGGAAGGCCTTTAATAAAGGCTCAAACCTTACTAGACATCAGAGAATTCACACTGGTGAGAAACCCTATAATTGTAAGGAATGTGGAAAGGCTTTTGGTAGTCGCTCAGACCTCATTCGCCATGAAGGAATTCATACTGCTTGAAAGGTAGAAAGTAAAATCCTTTTGTTAACCTTTATAATACATTTTTTTAACAGATAATGAAATCAAATCAGGTTATGCATTATCAAAGTTTCTCCTGTGTATTAAGGTTTTTTTAGGGCCATCATAACAAAGTACCAAGTACCAAAAACATAGTGGCTTAAAACAACAGAAATTTATTCTCTCACAGTTTTGGACCTTGGAAATCTGAAATTAAGCTTGTTGACAGCGTTGTTTGTTTCTAAAGACTCTGAGGAAGAATCTGTCCTATACCATTCTCCTAACTTTTGGTAACAGCTGGAAATCTTTGGCATTTTTTTGGCTTTTAGATGCATCATTCCAGTCTCTGCATCCGTCTTCACATTATATTCTCCCTGTGTATCTCTGTATATGTCTGTTCTCCTTTATAAGGACACCAGTCATGTTAGATTAGGATCACCTAATGACCTTATCTTAACTTGATTACATCTGCAAAGATCCTGTTTCCAAGTAAAATCGCACTCCCCGGTACCATGGGTATCTGGTATATATACAGTATATATACTTTTATATGTAACTATCACAGAATTCATGCTGGTGAGAAGCTCTATGAATTTAAAGAATGTCAAAAGGCCTTTATTCAGAGCTCAGAATCTATTCAACATCAGAGAATTCATACAGATGATTCTCTGATTTTCTGATATACCTGATATATACGGTATATATAGTTTTAGGGGACACAGATCAACACATGACATTCTGTTAACACTCTTTTGTCTAATATATTTATAATTTCCTTTTATACATAATTTTTAACCAAATATGTTTTGAAGTATGAATTTAAGGTCTAAATTAAACATCCTTCTCCCCCCCAAAAAGCTTCTATTTGAAAATTACTTATTATTCCTTATTATTTGTTCTCCTTCTTAATGTATTTGTGTTTATATTAGTTTGTGTTTTAGGGCTATCTTTTTCTATTGTTAGGACCTATAAATCTGCTTCCACCAATACTACACTATAAATTGGTTACATAAACTCTTAATTCCTGGGAGAATTTTATATATATATATATATTTTTTTTTTTTTTTTTTTTTTTTTTTTTTTTTTTTTTGAGTGGGAGTCTCACTCTGTCGCCCAGACTGGAGTGCAGTGGCCACTCCCGGCCACCACAGCCTCAACCTGCTGAGCTCCGGCAATCCTTCTGCCTCAGCCTTCCACGTAGCTGGAACTACAGATGTGCACTACCACACCCAGCTAATTTTTTGTTTTATTGTAGAGATAAGGTCTCACCAAGTTGCCCAGGTGGGTCTTGAACCTGCAGGCTCAGGCAATCCACTTACCTCAGCCTCCCAAGGCACAGGATTACAGGCTGAGCCACTGAGCCTGGCTAATTTTGTTTTTTGAAGGCAAATTTTTCCCCCTTTTATACAATAAATATTTTCTTAAAAGGAAAAAAACCCAGAGGAACACAAGAAAACATTATTTGTAATCCTACCAACCAGAGATGACTACTTTCAAATTGTTACACTAAATCTTTCCTGGCTTTATCTTAAAAGTGTAATTATATTATGCATGCTATACAATAATCTGCTTTTATCATGCCAAAATATATCAAGGTTACTGTTTAAGTACAGGTCTTTATCATTTTTAATGGGGTCATATTCTTTATGGTCAACTATCATTTTGCTAAATCTGGTAAACTTTAAAACTTTGCAGTTATAAAAATTGCCCTCTAAATGCAACTTTAATACTCTTTTGTTTATCTTTAAAAACATTAAAATGTAATGTTGAAATAAGTAATAAGCATTTTCTTCCCATATTATACTGCTAATAGCTCCAATTCCCTCACTGTAATTACTGTTAACAATTTTTATTTACCTTTATAGAATTTTAAAAACTATTTTACTTCTATATGTGTACACACACAAGTAAATATGTGTATATATGTAAATACTTATAGGAAACTTAGTGCTGCTTTATAAGTGTTTATGTATAATATATACTACTAATGTATGTGTTGGGTTGCTGTGAGGATTAAATGAATTAAGAAATGTAAAATGGTTGTGACTTCCTAACATAGTAAATATCTGGTGGATGCTATCGAATATTAACATCAGTTAATCATCATTGTTCTTATTTGTGGAGTGAACTTGAACCATATTATACACATTAGTTGACATCAGAGAATTTATAATAAGAAAGACTGGTGAATCCAGTGTTTGTTGAAAAACCCCCCACTTACTAATTCCATATTCAACTTGGAGTTTAATATTAGGGAAAAAAAAAGAATGGCTGCATAAACCTACATTCTTACCTCATCTTTCATGCTGTACAACAGTTTTATACCCACTGAAAAATCTATTTACATATTGAGAATAGTTGAAAATATTTGTCATAAAAGCAGAGAAAGTTGTAAAATGTTTACTCCATAATCACCTCCCCCAAAAAAGTAGAACATATGTAGGTCACATTCTTTTCTAGAACAGGAAAAAATATATAGTATAGAGAAATGTATGAATATTGATAATAACCCTCCAAATAACATGGTTAAGAAGAAATCAATCTCTGTATTATGTTATTTGTAAATGAATGAAAATGAGCACATTATGTAAAAATTTCTGAGAGTTGGCAGCTAAAGTTGTTGTGTTCAGACAAAAATGCATAGCCCAATAGGCATGTTAATATTTAAATACCAAGATAATATTAATAAATGTGCAACACAGAAAGCTAGAAGAATAACAGAAAGCTAGAAAAACCACAGCAAGCTAAATCCTAAAGCAATGGAAGAAAGGTATCAGTAAAAATAAAAGATAAAAGTAATTAAAGGGAAAAGTGAAATTGCTTCTTTGACAGAAAAAGAGTACATAAAAATGCAAACCTTGGTAATTCGGGTTAAGAAAAATGGAAGACAAATGTATGAGTTATATATGGACATGGTTATGTTTTGGGAGATTCTAAATAACATTTGCTAATATCTGGAAATCTAGAAAAAATATATTGGAAAATAATAATCCTACCACTGTCTTTTTGTGTGTGGTCTGCAGGTTAAGAATGTTTTACACATTTTTAAATGTAAAATCAAAAGAAAAATAAAATATGGCATGAAATTATGTGAAATTCAAATATCAGTGTTCATAAAGTTATTAAAAGCCATGGATATTTGCTTACACATTTTCTATGGCTGCTTTCACACTGATAACAGACAAGTATCTGATGGAGACCATGTAGTCTGCAAGCCCTATAATATTTACCATTTGACCCTTAACGAAAAAAGTTTCTCTACCCCACTCTAGATACTCACTTTCTCAAACACAGATGTCAAAATAGATTTTGATAATAGCTCAGAAAACAGATTTGGATAGTTACAAGGAATTTCTGAAATGCAACAAAAGAGAATTCATCTGGGATTTCAGGAGTTAATATACCTACACTCCATAAAGATTGAGAATTTTATGGACCAAGTTCTAACATCATCTGTTTCCTTGAGCTATTTTTAAAATCAATATTAGAAAGATTTGTATTTTAGTCTATTAATACACAATTATACTCCATTCTACATATGTTAACTTATATCCAACTAGATATCAAAGTTGAAGAGTTGCTACCCTGCCAGCTGTGAAGTCGGCACTACAGGAGGCTGGACAGTAACTAGAAGCCATTGAAAATATAAGGTTTTCCAATAAAGGTAAATACTAAAATAGTAAATAAATACATAAAAGTAATCCTTCCATCCATTACCACCCAGTTCACTTTTCAGGTATTGAGCAGTCCAGAAAACACTGGCAAGTCATCGATAGTTCAATGAATCTCATGCTGTGCATTTTTGCAAAATATTTTGTTGTTAAAACAATATGTTTTTGGCTGTAATAAAATCAACTAATGAGGCTATAATGAATGAGTTCTCAGAAATCAGTGAGTTAACTGCTTCAAGTGACATGTATGTTTCTTAGTAGCCCAATCATTTCATAATGCACAACAGCATATCAAAACTGTGCAGTCAAAAAAAAAAATCATTTAACTGATATATCTGAGCATGATCCAAACTACTTTGAACATGAAATCCTCTCCTAGTAGCTTTTAGCATCATTGAGAAATGTCGCATGTACTTGGGGAACTGGGGGGCTTTTTCTTTTGTTTTTGTCTAAAGTCATGATCTAAAGGGTGAAAATCATTACAGGTGATTAAGATTTGGGGATCAGGCACTACAGGATGCTGGACAGTACTTAGAAACTATTGAAAATATAAAGATTTCCAATAAAGGAAAATACTAAAGCAATATTATTGTAATTTTGGTTTGTAATTTTATTTTTGTTTACAGGATTTTAAAAGAAATGTATAAAAGTAATTATAAATCCATGTTAATGGCTACTTGATGGATAAAGATATAATTTGTGGCATCAAAAACATAAAGGGAGGGATAGATCTGTAAAAGGTGTATAGTTTTTGTATGCAACTGAAGTTGGTACCAATTTAAAATAGGTTAGTGTAACTTTAAGGTGTTATATATGATCCTTATAGTAAGCACAGAAATGTCTACAGAATATTGACAAAAGGAAATGAGAAAGAAATCAAAACATACTATAAAAACTCAACTAGAGGTATTGCGTGGTGGCTCACACTTATAATCTCAGCTCTTTGAGAGGCCAAGACAGGAGGACTGCTTGAGTCCAGGAGTTCAAGACCAGCCTAGGCAACATAGCAAGATCTTGTCTCTACAAAAAATATAAAAATTAGCTGGGCATAGCAGCACGCAACTGCAGTCTCAGATACTCAAGAGGTTGAGGTGTATGGATCACCTGAGCCCAGGCAGTCTATGCTGTGGTGAGCCATGATCTGTACCATTGCACTCCAGCATGGTCAACAGAGTCAGACCCCGACTCAAAAAAATCAATTAGAGATACAATGTATAGTTTCTAGCTCAACATAACAAAAAAACAGAACATTTTGAAAACCAACAATTCTTTTTTTTTTTTTTTTTTTTTTTTGAGTCGGCATCTCATTCCATCACCCAGGCTGGAGTGCAATAGCATACGCACGGCTACCCCAGCGTCAACCTGCTGGCCCCCGGGGATCTTTCCACCTCAGCCTTCCAAGTAGCCAGTACTACAGGTGCGCACTACCATGCCTGGTTAATTTTTTATTTTTATTGTAGAGACGAGGTCTTGCCAAGTTGCCCGGGCTGGTCTTGAACCCGCGGGTTCAGGCAGTCCA